CCTTGCGTTCTCCGAGGGCATGCCTGTTTCGCAGTTCCGTGACGATTGCAATCGGGTTCAAGCCAGCGTTCTCAGCGAGGGTCGTAGGGATGACCTCGAGGGCATCGGCATAGGCCTGGAAACAGTACGCTTCCATGCCCTTGAGCGATTGGGCATACTGCGAAAGCAAGCGAGACACGTGAATCTCTGGAGCACCACCGCCACCAATGAGGGCACTTGGCGATCTTCGTCAAATAGGAACGACAAGGAAAATGTGGACGCATGCGTACCGTTTTTTCACTAAGCAGCGGACCACGCACAACGCATCGTGCAAGCTTCGTTCGCACTCGTCGACAACGAGGTGGTTGCTTCCAGTGGCAAGGATGCTCACTGTCCTACCGCGATTCCTTATGCCAGTGATCCGCACAACTTTTACTTCTGAATCACTCGTCTCTTCAATCAGATCGGCATAACCCAGCTTGTCTTCGGTAAATGCTTCAATATCCGATATGGGCTTGCACCCTAGGCTTTTCGAGAGGAATTCAATCTCGTCTCGCTCGACATCTTTGACAGCTAGGATGTTCAGTCGTTTGAGGTAGTTTAATGCAAGCTCGTCAACGGCGTCGCGAAGAATAGATTTTTGAATGAGGAGGACATTGCAGTTGGCCTTCTTGATTTTCTTGACCATGTTGAGGATGTATTGACGCCCTTCCTTGATGATTTTATCCATCAGGCGGTAATCGTTGATAACCACAGTATTGTCCATCTGAAAGCAATGTCAGGAATCAGGAAGAGAACGAAATCGATGAGAAGCGCACATCAGGTTTTGGTGCGCTCAACTGGAATTGAATTATGGCGATCTTGGCCTTTTCCATGCGTGTAGGTCCACCAGCTGAGACAACATTCTGGTTCAGGACAACGCCCTCGACCAGCTCGGTGTCCTCGATCGTTCCCCCAATTTTCTTCACCACGCGGATATCTCTCAGGTCAACGTTCGACGAAGTAGGAGTGACAAGCCGCGAGACTGCAGCTACGGCGATCGGAGCCAGCGTCGACGAGTATTGTGAAACAATCTTTCAAAGGGGTGAGCCAAATACTTTAAGACAATATTTAATCCTAACCTTTGAGTTTAAGGAGGTACTAGCAGCACGTAGAAGACTTGCTCGGTCGTTGAGATCGACTGGAGTGGATATTTCGGTCAAGTACTCGACAGCTTTGGCAGATGCCTTGGTGAAGGAGTCGGCTACAGTCGTAGGATGGATGCCTTTTTGTAGCATTTTCTCCGCTGCACCGAGGAGGCTTCCAGCGAGCACGACGACGGAAGTTGTACCATCGCCTGCTTCAATGTCTTGTGCGGCAGACAGATCCACCAACTATCATGCATCAGCGACAAACAATCAGTGTTAAAAAATGAACGCACCATTTTTGCAGCAGGATGCAGAGCTTGAATGCTTTTCAGGATTGTTGCACCGTCATTCGTCACAATGACCTCTCCTTTCGATGTTTGGATCTTACCACATATTGTTAGTGGTGCAATCGAGATTGATGTGTCGCGGGTGAGCGATTTACCATCTTATCCATTCCTCGTGGACCCAAAGACGTCCGCACAGCATCGCTGATAGCTATCGAGGTGGATTAAACCTGAAGAATAAAATCATGAAGATGATCGTCGTACCTTTCGCTGCTACCATGTTCGACAGGCGCAGTTCCATGGGTTTGCCCTACTCTCCAACGCGTTCAACAGTGATCAGTAAGACGTATAGCAACGCACTTTGTCCTTGAAGGCTGCATTTGGACCGGAGACGACTTTTTGAGCGCTGTGGGAGAGATTGCTGGACGCCATGGCCGATAGTCGTTGGTGATGAGAATTCGAATGGACCCGTCGAGGGAGAGCCGTCACGCGTGACAGCAGCCCACATCGGGGAAAGGCTAGTGACTAATTGACGCAAAGACTTACGTCGCCCCCAACCACCATCTCTCATCTCCCTTGATCTTCAAGTTTAATATGAACTTCGTAAGCCTTTTATTCCTGCCTCCTGTGTCCATCTCATTGCTTCCCAGTTCGATCCAAATGGCCCAGGCGGAATTCTTAACCACTTCGCCGCCGGGTAATGCCTCCTTACCTTCCTGTCTGACAGCTTCATCTAACATGATCTCAGAGGTATGCCCGCGGGATATGGCCCCATGCGTCGCGCAAATCCACGTTCATACGATGAATACCTCAAGGCCTACAGCATGGCGATGCTTCCAGGTAGGGAGCGAGAGAATGTCTCGTACGGTGGAAAAGGTACGCGTCATCCTGTCTATTCATTGTTCCGTGGCCTGACTTGCGTACTAGTTATTATGCCACCATCTGCACTTGCAAATTTGACGAACCTTGACCTCGAGTCTCCATGGATGTTCCAATTGCGCAATCCTGCCAATCCTGCTGCTTCAACACATGCAGGTGTTCTCGAATTCATTGCTCAGGAAGGCGTGGTCCATCTGCCCTATTGGATGATGAAGACTCTTCGACTTAACGAAGGTGATAATGTTCGCATCACTGGAACAGAATTGCCGAAGGGAAAGCTCGTGAAGCTGCAAGCGCAAACGGTTCACTTCCTAGAGATTTCTGATCCTAAAGCCGTGTATGTCCTCTCTTTTACTCATAGACTCCTTGGCTTAGGATATTTCAGACTGGAACAGGCTCTGCGGAATTTCTCTGCGTTGACACAGGGCGACATCATTGAAATTTCCTACAACTCGATTATCTTTGGCCTTCTTGTGATGGAAACGAAACCTGGTGGAGAGGGCATTAGTGTTCTGGACACTGACCTTGAAGTCGATTTTGCACCCCCGCTTGGCTACGTTGAACCAGAACGACCTAAAGCTGCCCCGCCTGCAACGATGGCCTCCAAATTGAAGATCGATCTCAACTCCCATTCACCTGGATCTTCTCGTCCTGGGTCATCCCTAAGTGGAGGCTTCGCAGGGGCCAACACTGGCATTACGACTGTCAGCAAAGGAGGAGATCAATGGGAGAGCTTCAAGGGCAAGGGAGAAACTTTGGGTGGGAGGAGAACGAAAGGGAAGGGTATCAGCCATCGGAAAGTGGAGCCAGTGGGAGAAGGCAGCAAGATCATTCGCACCGAGTAAGTTCCATGTTTTCGCCATCTCCATCTCGCTCACCTCTTCATAGTGCACATAAGATAGTCTCGAACAGCACTCTGGAAATGGAGACAAAAGTTCCTGCTGCTCTCAACCTTCCGTTCGGCCAGCTTTTCTTCGGATTTCACGTAACACCGTACACGCCGCCTACGCAGGCCGCCTCTTCTGAGCGTGACCCGCAGGTATGATCAATTCCCTTCTAGACCATACTACTTTTCTAAGCTTTTTGAAGTCTCCCTTCTCGGGATCTGGGAACACGTTGAGCGGTCGTTCAACAACAGCGGCATCGTCCTCAACAGACAAGGGCAAAGTTAAAGCCTCCGAATCGACATCTTCGACATCCAACCATAATTGGGGTGCATCCGGCCAGACGTTGGGAAGTCAGAGGCCGATACCGCAAGACGGACCAGTCGGGGCTGGTGGAGCCAGAGTTCCCCAACCTCTGCGACGCGACAACACGAAATCGAAGAAGGAACGCAGCCCGTCCCCAGATTGGGGCGTTGATGATGACGACGTGATCATGATTGACAGTGATTAGAGCAAACTGGCGCTAGAGCAATTGTAACAATACTTAGTTCATATAAATATCTCCAATCCGTGTATCATCGACTTCAAATCTATGGTAACAGTCACCCTGGTCATAGCATTACCACACCAATCCCTTTTCCGGCAGGAACAGAGCCTTCAGGGTTCATCCCAGCGAACGGTGATGTTCGCCAGTTGTACAGATAGAAGTTCAAGAAACCATCTCCAACGCCAAACTGCAGCGCAGAAAAGTTGATTTAATTCCCGTGTTGCAACAGAGGTAGGGAAAAATTAAAAGACATACCCGCAGGTCTTGCAAAATAGGCACATTGTCCATCAGAGTCAGGGCATTGAAGACATCGAACTTGGCTTCATTGGCGACGACGAGTGCGTCACCAACCAAGGCGAGCAGCCGTTTCTTGACTTTCTCGTCTTGGTCCTCGCTGGGTGGTAAGCCGACTTCGGTAGCATAATAAAATAAATACGCCGCCTCGAGAATGGGGTGTGTGGTGTTGTTGATGACAGTCGAGGGAAGGGAGTAGAACGAGAAGAAATCAGTAATTTTACCAGTTTCCGGTTCCTGGGTTTGGAGTCAGTACAAAGGCCTATGTACTGGTCTAAAGGGACGCACCTCAACGACATACGACCATGTTACTTGTCCCTCTCTACGTCCGACACCCCCAGTTCCTATTTCGCCTTCACCGCTACCGCTCAGGAACTGGTGCCTCGCATCTTCTAAGGTGAAGAACGGGACCAGGTCGAATCGCTTCATGTACTGGTTAAAGAGGGTCGTAGCAGCAACAATGTCCTTCTCCTGCATTTCTCTGAGCCCAGGTACCGAGGTTTTACTGGGCAATTTGTTCAGGCGAATCATCCGTGCTAGCGTCATGTTGCGTGGTACATGGCAAAACTTCGTCTCGACGAGCTTAGGAATATTTAGTGAGCGGTGGTAGTATCTGCAGACGGATACTGGGGTAGGAATCACAACCCCGGCGGTGTATATTGCTTGGAAAACCCCTTTCAGGTGGCATTGTCGGGTCACTTCTTTTATTAGCACTGGCGCCAGTCGCTTTGATCGCAGCTTCTTGTGAACGCACAGGTAGTTGATCTCGCTGACTTGGATCACACTTTAAGCACAGCCTATTAGCGGTTATAGTGGGGTCGATATGGATGCACTTACTGTTGGCGCACCCGTAGGGTCATTGGAACTCCTGAAATGAAAGCGACTAGCTTCTTATTCGTGGATACGCGTACACCAATATGCCATTCTGGGTGATAGCCAGGAGGTTTAAGAGCCCTAGAAAATCGATAATAGTAAGGAAATATGAGCATATGAACAACTATATACTGCCTACCATGCGAGGAATTCGGCACTATATTGAAATCGGAAGGCAGCATGATCATCTTCCACGTAGTTGAGCGACAAGAGGTCGTACACCTCCTTGTTCTGCGACCGTTATGAGCTTTCATACATTGCATTAGGTTAAATGCATACGTACTTGAACAGGATCGTTGATGTCAAGAGTTGCCCATTCGAAGTCTTTGGGCAAGGAATAAGGTTCTTGACGGACTTCTTCACGAGGTTTCGATGGCTCGATATATCCCTCTTCCAAAGGCACCCCTTCGCCTGTAGACAGATTATTGATTTAAAGGATGGGAAGTCAACAGGAAATATATGCCATACCCGGTTGCGGGACTGGCTGGGTTGCCCAAAACTATACGCCGAGTAAGAAAGGAGTAAAAGAAGGTATTGATTATGATGCACCTTATGTTCGCCCATATTCTTTGCATTCAAACCTCCAGGGCCAGCCTTCCCTTTCACCACATCCATGATCTTCATCTGCTGTAACGCTTGTCTAATATTCTCCGCGTTGATTTCCAAAGAGCTCGTCGCGCCATCTGTTTTAACTTTATCCAGTACACGATCAACAACCTCTTGCGGAATTTCATCATCCTTGGCACGGAGAGAGTTTATGAGCTTCTTTGCCTTCGACTTTTTCTTTTTCTTCTTCTTCTGCGACGTGGATGTTGAGGGTCCCGCATCGACCGCGTTATGGTCTGCAAAATCTTCAGCATCGGAATCAGAATGGCCCTCTTCGGAATCTGGATCGACAGTTGTATCAATAATTTCTGGCGCCTTGTCTTTTTTCTTGTGGGATTCAGACATTCCGTTCGCGAATTCAGAGGGGCGGAAGAGGGGAGGCAATTGGTACGTCACTTCGAGCGCCAGCCGATCCTGGTCATGTGACATCCATCTTTCTTGCCAAATCGGAATGTCTACCGACGGCCAGCTAAGCGAGAAATATCGATGGTGTCCCAGCCAATGAATTTGTCAAGACGAATATACTCGTGGATTAAAAAAAACTTAATTTAGTGTCAGTGGTCAAATTTCCAGGGTTAGACTAAACTTGAAGCTTAAACTCTTGCGACAATCATAGTACTCTACTTGTCCATGCTGCAACTAATGTGAGGTGCGGACGAGCGCTGACTAGTGCTGACCCTTATAGGCCCTTGCTTTCGAAACCATTGACCCCATCCAGAACCTCATTTCAACATTTGCAATAAGTAAACATCAGCGTGAAAGTCCCGGACCGGCAATCCGTCGGATGATAAAAGCGTCTGCCGCAAAGTCGACCGAGGAAAGGAATAGAGAAATGGTGGATAAATACGTTTCAGCAGACGCGCGGCACGGGTCCCGGAAGTAGTCCCACGTACATGCGCCACGTTTCGTCTGGGAAGATCAGAATGTGGATGCCTTTGAACCTCCTATGCCCGCCTAGGACGTCAATTCGTTTGTACCCTGAAGAAAGAACGACTGATTCAACTTCGTACGAATCCTTTGCTCGTTGTGCGCGCGCGAAACGGAGATGTTCTCGATTTCCGGGAACGGCGCTGACGTCGTGAATGTCCTCTTTGGTGAGGGGCATATGCAGATAGTCCGAGATGGCCTGAAGGACGTCTCGCACGGTCACTTTGTCTGACTCGATGGTTATATGACCCCAACGTGTCATCCAGTATGCGAGGACAGGGTGATCAGAGAACACCCATACTTTCTTGACACTAGGCTGAAGGGCTTCCGCGTCAAAGTCGGGTTTGATCCATCTTTTGAAATGCTTCGGGTCTCGAATACGCGCGAAGTCTGGTTCATGAATGAGATCCCACAGAAGTTCTGGTCCGGCGTCTGGATTGGCGAAGTTCTGACACAAGTGGCGATGGATGTAGAACATTGGGGCAGGTTCCAGAGGCACGAAGGGCATGTGGGGATGAAACAGGTGCGCTCGCATCCAAGGAGATCCAGGGAGCTGCCATCCTCGAGGGTTCCGCCAGTAGATCGTTAGACTTGCATCGTGAGGCGGAGAAAACACTTGCATCTCTGGTGTTGGTAGACGGGGTGGCTCATTTTTTGGGAGGAAATTCAAAGGACTTGGGGGAATGAAGGGTTCGTTGATAGGTGAATCTGTCCATTCCTTCAGGTGACTAGGTATTGGGAAGGAAGAACGCGAAAACTCACCGCTCATGGTGCACACGATGTCATTCAAGGGTTTCTTTGTAGCTCCTACCCTTGCAAGTGTAGCAGAGAAGAGTTGCAATCCTGCTGATACAGAGGTCGAAGGTTGGTTGTCTATTTAGAAGAGTGAGAGGTTGCGAATGTCAGGGTAGTCCTTAAGATATACAGCATACAGACGGAGAATACAGCAGACTGATGTAAGAAGGAAGGTCGGGAGAATCCGAGATAGGCAGAATCTCCGATGGTCAGTGACGCAAGATCAGCAACCTTCCTTCATGTGTCCATGGACAAGTACCAGTGAAAGAATTCAGGCCTAAGACCACCAATGCGTTTGTATACATGGTTTGGACATGAAGTCCTGGATACGTAAACGGCCACTCCTGAGGGCCTACTTTCTAGTTGACAGTGCGTTGTGAGGCCTACTGGTTTCGAAACGAGCAAGACATTGAACAATCCGTGACTCGGAATACATTTCGCTTCATTGGGGCCGTCAAAGGTACCAACGAGCGGCCTGTACGCAAATATGCAGGGATATAAGGTCGGCATGCTGTCTTCATTGAGCCTCCAACGAGGTTCGGCAAGGAGAGCATCTTCGTGGCAGTCTGTCCTCTAGAGAACGTCACGCTATGAACAGGATGCTAGGTTATCAGCAGGTTTAGTTGAGTAGGCGCAGACACTTACTGCGTATTTTAGTCCAGATCCCAGGATAGGATGCAGTGCGAGTAGTCGTTCCTTGGACGACAGAGTTAGAAATGCGCAGGGACTTGGGGGACATTACGAGAAGTCAATTTGTGAGCAGTACAGGCATGCAACTAGAAAAGCCATCTCGTTGATCCAAGTGGGATACATATTTGATATATCACGTAGAGACGCCGTAGGAAAGTGAGATTCTCCTTTCCGCGTCTGGTCGGGCTGGTGGTGGTGGTGGTGGTGGTGAAGGAATGAGTTGCCTGTTTGGGGGAGTAAACCGACGTGACCCACTTCATTCCGCTCAGTCTCTCTTCAACACCCACAATGCTCCTTCCCTGGGCCTTCTTATCCTCCCTCTTCGTCCTGGGCCTCGCGGAACCCGCCCGACGCACATACGACACCCACGATTACTATGTCTTGCGACACGACCCACTTTCGACAACCGGGGCGCCGCTAGTAGAAGCTCTGCAAACGCTCGGCGTTGAATTGGTAGAACAAGCCGGCGAGTTGAAGGACCATTGGCTCGTTAGAAGACTCAAACCTCCAGGACTCGTTACAAGAGACCATTTCGATCCTGTTCTGTCGACATTCAAGATGTTCCAAGCCCAGGCGAATGCGCCGTTAGCCGTCCGTTCTCCGCAGAATCAACTTGCTCGCCGAATAACCGCGTCGGTCGATTATCTTTCTCTACAAACCCTTCGAAGACGCGCGAAACGTGCGCCACCTCCAATACCCCCCCCTCCGCAACCGTCTTCACAAGATGTCGCTGCCCGCTTCGGCATTCAAGATCCCTTGTTTCCCAAGCAATGGCACCTCGTAAATAATGACTTTCCCGAACATATGATGAATGTGACAGGTGTTTGGGACATGGGGTTCAAGGGGAAGGGAGTCATATCTTCACTTGTTGACGACGGGCTGGAGTATGAAAGTGAAGATTTGTCCCAAAATTTCGTGCGTTTACCTCTTCTTCGCTTTTATTCCTCACCTAATACTGTTGTTCAAGGACGCGGAGAATTCTTTCGACTTCAACGACCACCAGAAGCTGCCAACACCGAAAAACTACGACGATCATCATGGAACTCGGTGCGCTGGACAGGTCGCAGCTCAGAAGAACAATGTATGCGGTGTAGGAATTGCATATGAATCCAAAGTCGCTGGTGTTCGTATTTTGTCTGGGCCCATTTCCGATGTCGACGAAGCTGCAGCGCTCAACTATGGCTTCCAAAACGTCTCCATATACAGTTGCAGTTGGGGACCTCCAGACAACGGTCAGTCCATGGAGGGTCCAAATTACTTGATCAAGAAAGCAGTTGTGAATGGAATCAACAATGGCCGCGGCGGGAAAGGCTCCATCTTTGTGTTCGCCAGTGGCAATGGTGCTGGTCATGGAGATCAATGCAATTTCGACGGCTACACCAACAGTATCTATTCTATCACCGTTTCTGCGGTCGACTACAAGGGTTTGCATCCTTACTACTCCGAAACTTGTGCGGCAAATATGATTGTCGCATATAGCTCAGGAAGCGGTCGGCACATCGTACGTGTCCTTTCCCCGTATCTGTAGCCGCTCTGACTGTGGAACAGGTCACCACGGATAAGGGCAAAAATGCGTGCGCGACCACGCACGGTGGGACTTCTGCTGCTGCACCGAATGCTGTGGGAGTTTTCGCATTGGCGCTACAAGTGAGGTATGCCACATTCTCCCATCGCTTTCAATTACTCCAAATGTCGTACTTATTTTAGACCGGACCTGACGTGGCGCGATATCCAGCATCTATGCGTTGAGACAGCGAGGAGGATTAACCCTGAGGACCCAGACTGGGAAGACGCACCAAATGACAAGAGATACAGCTACAAGTACGGCTTTGGCGTGCTCGATGCGTACCATTATGTGAAGGCTGCACAGACATGGAAGCTCGTCAAGCCGCAGGCTTGGTATCAAACGAAGGCGATCCAGTTGAACAACGGCACTTATCATGGCAATACCTACGAAGGAGGCGAGTTTATTGTCCCTGGTGGTGTAGAGAGCAAGACGTTGATCACGAAGGAAATGTTGGAGGAGAACAACCTGGAAACTCTAGAGCACATCAATGTGAAAGTCTGGATAAGTCACACGACTCGAGGAGAAGTCGAAGTCGAGCTTGTTAGTCCAAACGGTATCAGGAGTATTCTTGGTGGGGCGCGTGCAGGAGACCGGGATTCTACTGGATATCCTGGATGGACTTTTATGACAGTGAAACATTGGTCAATCCGTCATCTCATCCTTTTGACCCTTATCATTAACCAAGCGTTCCTAGGGGCGAAAATCCTATCGGACACTGGACACTCAAAGTCAAGGATCAGAACAAACCGAACAGCAACGGCACCTTCATCGGATGGAACATGATTTTTTGGGGTTCTAGTATTGATCCTTCGAAAGCGTACAAGTTTGAAGTTCCTCTCGGCAATGACGACTTCCCTCCAACTGAAATTCCCGCCCGGCCTATCATTGTGGAACCAACCAGCACCACGAGTAAGCAACACGCCAAGCCCACAAATCATCTGCCAGGTGATCATGGCGTTGCGGCTGGCGAAAAGACGAAACCTGCTTTTCCGTCTTCAACGGTCGGTTCAACATCGACGACCACAACCTTAGCCGAAACTTCAAGCCCAGCGACAATCTCGGGCACACCAGATATTGGCTGGTTCTCTGATATGTCGAAGCTGGTCACAAGCCAGAAGTGGTTCTTCGTCGCGTTGGGCGCTGTATCGTTGTTTGGTATCGGGGTAGGGATGTTCTTCCTCTGGAGACGTCGTATGGCCCAAACCAGAGCAACGGACTATGCACCACTGGATGATGAGAATGGCCATTCAATGACGGCGCTGGGCACCTCAGTGTCTGGTCCTCGAACGACAAGGGAGTTGTACGATGCGTTTGGGGAGGTGTCGGACGATGATGACGACGAGACGACAGCCCTTCGACAGCCGTTGGCGCGTTCTGGAGGGCTTGGTTTCCACTCTGGCTTCCTGGACGATGATGACCCGTCCACAACTACCGCGGGCATGCCGTCTACATATCGTGACGAGCCAGACCACCAGGAAGAGCCGTCGCATTCGCGTCTCAGAGAGACGCCGCGCGATGACGAGAGTTCTTCCAGCCCACCTGGGAGTGTGGATGGGAGCTGGGAACATGCTTCACGAGAATAATTTCGTTTACAGACACTTGCATATCTGTATATTATATTAGACTTAATTGTGCTTTATTGGACCCTAGGACACTTGCATATGTATCAAGCATGCGTCAAATCTAGGAAAGCAGGCTGATGATGATGTCAAACAGCACTAAAGTACACTACGCACAAGAAACACAGTCCTCACAAACATAAATTGATACCCCTCCAGTTCGGGTACGGCAGACAACGAACTGGTATATTATATGAACTGAATCTTAGATCCTCCCGCGACTCGGACCCAGATTTCAAGGTCTTCGTACTGTTGGTATAATCATCAACACCGGTCAGCATAAAACGAAAAAAGGTCCTTACCGCTGTTATGGTCTCCATAAGCTGAGCTTCAGTAAAGCCAGCGCTGATAACGCGAGCACGAATGTCTAGCACGGAGAGGACCTTTCCATCCTCTTCGTCCGAATCCACATCCATGTCGCGTTCGCCGCCGGGACCTTTGCCGAACCTCTTCTGGCGCTTGGAACGCTGCCCGCTCCCTCCAGAACCAGCCATGTCTTTGACGAGGCGGAAGATTTTGCTGATTGGGGTTTGATCTACCTCAACTTCACGGTCCTCCTCGTCTTGCAGACTCTCCTTGCTGCATTCCATCAGACGGAGAGCTTCGTCTACGTCTGAGTGTACGACAACATCAGAACATCTCAGGCGAGCGAGCGCTTGTGCAAGACGCAAGATGCCGAGCAGGGTACGTGCTGACGTATATGTATGGGATTTACTTTGCTCTTCTTCGTCCTTTGAGAGCTTGCGGAGGCGAACGTAAGAGTCGACGACATAAGTCGAGACTTCACGAGGAACAGTCGGGCGTTTTTGACGCGCAAGCGCAATGTAATGCCTAGATCATGACAGTGACAGTTGTACTTTCCATTGATAGCTCCGGGAACACCACTTACCTCATGATTGTGGGCTCAACGACATCCATATCCAAGTCTGGGTGGCGATTGTGCATATGCACGTAGGTAACGTGCTCAGCAAGGCGCTCATCCCCATCTCGCGAAGCTTTGTCCAAAATCAAAAAGAGCAAATCGAACCTCGAAAGAAGTGCAGCAGGCAGATTGATGTTCTCGACTGGGGAAACCTTCGGGTTGTATCGACCATATAGCGGGTTGGCAGCGGCAAGGATAGAAGTACGGGCGTTGAGCGTCGTTGAAATGCCCGCCTTGTTAATTGAAATGGTCTGCTGCTCCATAACTTCGTGAATGGCGGTCCGGTCAGATTCGTCCATTTTGTCGAATTCATCAATGCAGCAGATTCCGTTATCTGCAAGAACAAGAGCCCCTCCCTCTAAGGAAGAAGACGGTCAGGCGAGGATAAGACAGAAAGGAGCCAACAAACCTAGAACCATTTCATCTGTAACTGGGTCTCTCATGACTGCAGCAGTTAAACCGACACCAGAGGATCCCTTTCCTGTGGTGTAGACGCCTCGAGGAGCAATTTTTGATATATACTTCAAAAGTTGTGACTTCGCCACACCAGGATCACCCATCAGGCAAATGTTGATGTCTCCTCGGATCTTCATTCCGTCGCCAGTGACTTTAGTGACACCTCCGACGAGGAGCAATAATAGGGCCTTCTTGACATCTTCGTGACCATAGATTTCAGGAGCAATGCTTTGTGCAAGCTTTTCATACAACGCTGGATCTTGTCGAAGTTCGGCAATCTGACGCTCAATGTCCGGGGTAAGTTCCATTTCGCTGTACTGTTTCTTCAGCTGATGGACGTGATGAGCCTCGAGGTATGTGTCGGTAAGTAAACCCGCGCGGATGGCTTGGAATCCAGTGTACGGTACTGGAAGGAATATGCCGCCCAGATGAACAACATCCCCAGGATTCATCAGCCGAGTGAGGTTGCCGTTGACATGGACTGTCATGGAACGCGGTATGTGTCCAACGGGTACTTGGTCAGGCTGGCATAAATAATGAGAGTTAGTAGAGGCCTAATAAATGAAGTGGCTAGTAGTGAATACTAACCATTTCCTGTATTTTCACCTCCTGGAAAGGGCTGAAGCGACAGGCTCTTGTCTGCATATGGAGTGAACCGCGAATTCCATTCTTTTTGCACTCGTTCTCGTTCTGACAGTCGAGGATTGGCGAGAAAGTCTTTTGGGATATGTCCTGGAAAGTTTCTGAGCCGCACACATCACACGTGTAAGCGTTGACTTGGAGAAGTGGCTTGACTTCGGAAACACGTGTTACGATTCCACGGACGGTCAGTAGGTGACCTAGCAGAGACCCCTTTACTTCACGGACCGCCGTTGTCATGTCAGTCACCAGCGGCTTGAAGTAGAGGTTGCTGGAGAGCTTTGAGTGCCGAGATGAAGAGGATGGAAGCTGTTGCACTCACTATCGACGGAGCAAATGTTCGGGGAACCCTTCCTGTCCACCTTCCAGCTGCTCGTTGCGCTCACGTCTTTGATGAAGAATAACGTCGATTACTTCGTCCTGGTCACTGATGTCCTTGGTGGGTTGTGGCATAAGCTTGTCCACAACCTCGCTGAAAAGGTTGACATATCGTCGTGCGTTATTGCGTATCCGGGAAACAAGTTCAGATGATGTATTCTCGTGCTTTTTTGTCGTTAGCTTTAGTCTAGGGAGAATTGAAGTATGGCTCACAGCAAGAATGTCCTCCAACTCAATTGCAAGCATTTGTTGTTCGCGATTGGCGATGCATTGCTGAAGCGACCGTTAAACGCGTCCCAGACGCGTCAGAAGGAAGTATGACGCGTACCAGCTGTTTCATGTACTTGAGAGACGCAAATTCCGGGTTGGTAGTGTCGCGGCCATCGTCAATGTCGATATTCGCCAAGTCTTGAGCAAGATCTTTTTCTTGAGTGCTCTTGAACTTGGACAGGAAATCCGTAATTCGTTCTGTGATGGGGTTGAGCAAACTGAGGGAGAGATGGATGGATTTGGGCACCTTTCTCATCGTCATATTTGATGTTGATGTTTGCCACAGGGAGGGACATTGTGGAAGAGGAGGAAGGAGTGGCGGCGTTTGAATTGATGCACGTCTATCTTTGGACCACGTTCCACAGCCGACTGTGTCAACTTCTTCCAGTGACCTTGATCTTAAACGCCTCCCGTGTGTTGCTCAAGTTCATCTGGCATGCGGGTACTAACCCTCTTGCATTCTTATAGTAGTCATGAGCAAGTCCGGCTTGATCCCTTACATCGACATAGTTGTTCCCAAACGACGAGCTCGGCAACTGAGCCTCAACGGATCGTCCACAACCAGCGGGTCACCATCTCATTCACAACCCCCCGAACCTCCCAGCCCGAACCCATCCCCCCGAAAAAGGAGAAAGACAGACAAGGAATCCCTCGTCGAACTTGCCTTATCTAATGTGCGTCCTCCCTTCTGGCTTTTGAAACTGTACTCATCCGAACAACCTTAGTGGATGGATGTTCAAAGTAACTTGCAGCTATCTCCTACTGCCTCAGAGTTTACGTTCGAGGTATGTGACTCTACTTACTAATAGCATTAAATCAGTCTCTCAAATCGATATAGGATGTGCAGAAACTGCCTTCAAGCGTCGCTTCAAGTTCGAAAACGAACCTGCTATCTGACAGTCAAGACGAGGACGACACCGGTGAGAACATTGTTGCTCCTGTTCTTTTTTCTTCAATTTTATACCCATGAATATCTTTTCTACGAAGCAGACTTTGTATATCGAATTGACAACGATGACTGTGCCGAGGATGGGGATTTCATTGTGCCCGGAGAAACACCACGCACCGACGACGATGACGAAAACGAAATACCAGTTCGTCTTCTCAACGACTTCACAGTCTACAATGCCGAAACGCTTAAAGCTGTCCCTATTGCTGAACTGATTGGAATGCACCTTGGACGGGATATCACGTACGGCGCGTCTGGACTGGTTAAACCTTGGATAGTTCCCGATGACTTCGAATCCGAGGACGAGGATGACCAAAGTGACAAACAGGATTCAGAGTCCTCTGCGGCTGATGAAGACCGCATCACTCTTTCAAAAATTCTGGAGTTTAGCATCCATAGTCTCCCCGAAGACAATGATAAAAAACCTGATAGGCAAGTCAGTATTTCTCATTTTGTTGTTTTGGCTCATCAGAATGGCTATTTCTACAGTAAAATATACATACGGACAAAATTTGCTTGGTACATTCTTGGTATCCCTTCAAAATCCTACAATCCATTGTTCTGGGATTTCTGGCTCAAGCACCGATTACTTCACTTGCTGGTTGTGGCAGCTCTTGAAGACCACAAACTTACCTGTGAAACATTCATTCAAAATCTACGGGAATGTGATCGAAATGAGGAATCTGTTGTGTCAACACAGGAAATTCTGGGCCGAGAACTCAGCAAAGATGATGTGAATGAGGAGACCCAGGTATATGAACTGTTGTGTATCAGGGGTGGGACATATTCTCATTGGCTTTTTTGCAGGCATATATTATCTCTTGTTTGCCTGATTTATGCAAGCAAAACGGAATCCCAATTTCACGAGTCCCAGCTGTCCGCAAGCTCACACTCTGTGAGGTCTTGGATGATGATAGCTCGGGTCACTCCAGTGGCAAGGGGAGGAGGAGGAAGGATGATAGATCCATGTCATCCAAAGGCTTGCTGAAGAAAGAAACTGGGGCAAGCAAGACCTACCTCACCCCAATTGTCAACCACATTGCACAGGACTTCTTTAAAGGTTCTTTGGAGGTTGCTGAGTCCATGTTGGATCATGAGCATGATGAAACTCTGCAGCAATGTGATCACAAAGGTCATGAAACTAATCCCAAGAAGATTGTCTGGAGCAAGCATCTTGGCCAGGAGTCAAACATATATCAGAGTGTTATTGTTGATGGTATCATATACCAGGTGTGTTGTATCTTCTTGATTAGAAATGATTAGATGACTGAACTGATTTTACTAAAGGTTGGTGATGTGGTCATGGTTGAGCCTGAGCACAATGATGAATCAAGAAGTAAGCCAATTGCTTCCTGTACAAATAATAGATATGGAAATAGATGGTGGTATGTTGTCCATACTCATCAGATTGGCCAGGTCTGACAGTTTGCAGGTTTTGCCAGATCCAGTACTTTCATGAAAAGGGATCAGTCAAGATGTTTCATGGCCAATGGTTTGCTCATGGCTGCAAAACACTGCTGCAGGAGGCCTCTCACTCACAAGCACTATATCTTTTGGCAACCTGTGATGATAATCCAATAACATCTATCTTCAAGAAATGTAACATCACTTTCTTACATCCTGGTGATAATGAGGTCCATGATCAACAGGACCATGACAGCAATGACTTTCATTGTGGGTAAGTGCTTGTTACATTTGCTTTTTTAAACTCTTCACTGATACCAAGCCAATTTGAGGTTGATGTACAGTGAAGAGTATGCAGAATTTCTTGATATCCCACCAGAAGCTCTAGTCAATGATTTGACAAGTGGATCCAAATTCTGCTATGCTTGTGATAGAAAAGTCAAAACTGACAGCATTCAAATCATCAAAAACCCCCAATCCAACACGATCATTGTCCATGGCTTGCAGTACCACATCAATGAGTTCATATATATCCACCCAACTGGCCCATCCAAAGTTCTAGATATAGGCCAAATCAAGAAGATTGACCAGCTTCAGATTCATGTCCATCTATTGGGTCGTTTGATGATTATGTTCATTGCCAGAAGAAAAAACCATTCTTAAGTGGATTGAATAATGAATCATTTCTAATATGTGATGAGGTATGTAGATTTGATTTTTGTATGCTCAACACTAACACTTCTTTCTTTGCTAATAGTGTCATCTTTTTTTCACCAATGACGAGATAGTTATCTCTGCCCACCAGCTTGATGGAAAGTGCCACATTTCCTTCATGACAGATGAAAACAAAATACAACAGTGGATCAAACACAATGATCATTACTATGTCAATCAAGAAGGTGATGAAGAGCATCTGACACCCATGGATGATGAAGACATAAAGCATTGCAAAATTTGCCGAAATGAAGACAGAGAAAGGCGAACAATGACCAAGAAATTTGGGCTAACAAATAGCAAGCTTGTTGGAATGGAGCTGTTCAGTGGTAAGCTGTGGTCTTTCCTTTACCCATAACTCACAAACTGACTGTCTGGTGGGCCACAGGTGCTGGAGGCCTTGGTATTGGAATGAACCTATCAGGCTTTGTTGAGACAAAATATGCTATTGAACTATGGCCATCAGCAGCAAAAACATACAAGTTTGTCCCTGTTCATCTTTCATCAGGTCCATGCATTGATTTTCTGCTAGAACAAATCACCCTGATGTGACAGTCTACTGTCAGGACAGCAGCAATCTGCTGAAGCATGCAGTGGAGAAGAGGAGTGGCAAGAAGCCTGTGCCTCTGAAGTCATATCTTGACAAAAAATCTCTTCCTCCACTTCCTGACCCTCATGAAAAGATTGATTTCATATTTGGAGGTAAGAATATTGTACATTTGCCTGTCTTTTCTGTGGGACTAATTATCATTTTGCAGGCCCACCTTGCCAACCATTCAGTCGAGCAAATCATACAAAGCAGAGGAATGACATCCGGTATGTCTCAGGCTCCAACTTGTCTCAATTTGAGCACACTTACTGATAGTCAACACCCTCTAGAACCACCATGCCATGCAATATGCTCTCCTATGTTGAGCACTATGAGCCAAATTACTTTCTTCTTGAGAATGTTGCTGGCTTTCTTGATCACAAGTTATATGACATGCATGAGACTGAGGCAGGGCTTGTCGAGTGCGAGATCAAGTTTGGGATGGTTAAACTTGTCATGCGTACACTGATTTCCCTTGGCTACCAGGTACGATTCAGACTCCTGCAGGCAGGACAGTATGGTGTGCCACAAAGCCGTCAACGAGTCATCTTCTGGGGTGCAAAACGTGGGCTCCCAATGCCTGAGTTCCCAGTGCCTGTATATGCATTTCCAAAGAGCAATACACGCATCACACTTCCAACTGGCAAAATGCTGGACCCACCAACAAGGAGCAGAGACCCAGATGAGTTTCACTATCTGGCCCCACTTCGACCCATAACTGTGCTGGATGCAATAAGTGATCTGGTGTGTAGGCTTGCCCAGTCTATTTGATCCTTCATTAATGATCTCCTTCACCCTTTTGCCATAGCCTCCATTTGACTGGTGTGTATATGTTCTATAATTCAGCAACACTACCAACACCTCTTCTCACAGGCAAAATCCTCATGCCATCATCCCACCC